ATTCCTACTGCTGTCCTTCTCATCCATTTCCTTGACCATGTCTCCACCCATTCCTCTAGTATACACGTATATACTGATGGCTCCAAATCCACCTCTGGTACTGGTTTTACAGTAATATTCCCAACTCGTACTTTCAAATACTCCCTTCCTCCTGAATCCAGTGTCCTTACTACAGAACTGTATGCACTCCTTTTTGCCCTAAAACACATAAACTCACTCTCCTCTTCCTCTTTTACAATTTTTACTGACTCCCGTAACTCATTAACTCTCATAAAGTCAATACACACCACCAACCCCCTTGTTTGTAAGATCCAGAACTGGTTGTTCTACCTGACCACACGCCATAAAACAATCAAATTTTGCTGGGTGCCCAGCCATGTTGGAATCCCCGGCAATGAACAGGCAGATACACTAGCACGCCACGCTGCTATGTCCACATCATACCAACCACGCTTCTCACGTATCCCAGCCACGGGTTATTACTTTAAGACCTTGTATAACCGATGGCAATCTTTTTGGTCAAGCCTCCACACTAATAAATTACATTCTGTAAAACTATCAATCTCCTCCTGGTCAGCTCCATTTCATCGAAACAGACGTTGGGAGACCGCTCTCGCCCGCTTACGCATTGGCCACACCCGTCTAACACACTTCTATCTGATGTCACAATCTGATCCACCCCTATGTTCCTTATGTAATGTTCCCCTTTCAATCCCACACATCCTATTGTCGTGCCCATATTTTAAAGCAGCCCGTACCTCTGCCTTCCCCCACCTATCCTCCCTTCACCGACCTCCCAACCTATCAGACATCCTTACAGAATCCCACACTTTCTGCATCAACAACCTGTTCTCTTTCCTCAAACGCATACATATCCTTCATCTAATCTAACACTCAACCTTAACCCTTTCACTCACCAATTCCTTTGCCCAGCTTAGACAACTAATCACTAACTCAACTACCCTTCACTAACATTAACTATAGTGCTACATGACCTTAGATGTCTAGCACATTTATCTTGCTTTTAACCATTAACCATTAACAATAGACCTTTGATGAAATGAAAGCAGATTTTGGGGAGGATGTATCATCATGTGACGTTAAACACTAGATCGCCAAGTTGTCTACTCGATGGGTTCCCAGGGTTACTCACACCCTTCCAGAAGCTGGAACGAGTCCATTGTTTGAAGGCTCTTTTAACCACATGCCAAGAAAACCAGGAGGACTCTTTAGACAGAGTAATTTGAAGAAATTTGAGTCTATCACTGTGATCAAGAAACTAGGGCCCAGTCAAAAGAATGGAAGCATTTGGACTCCCCCCCCCCAAAAAAAAAAGGCCCATGTTACACCCTCGGCAGACAGGGTTATGCTCACAATCATTTAAGACTATCATGAAGTAGTGATGATGGATTTCATGGCAAAAGGCACTACAATTACAGGTGCAGAAACTGCATAAGGCTATTAAAACCAAGAGACATGGAATGTTAACCAAAGGTGTCCCCCTCCTACGAGACAACACACCTGTTCACAACCTTCACATTGCCCAGATGGAAGTGCGGTCCAGTGGCTATACCATCCTTATTCTCCTGAATTTGCTTCATCTGACTTTCACCTCTTTCCGTGTTTAAGTCATTTTTAAAGGGCAAACGTTTCCAAGATGATAAGACCCTAATTTCTAAAGTCACTAAAGTCCCACTGTAACAGAAAACTTGTTATAAGTTTAGGACTAGAAATCAACACATGACCTATAGATGTGTGTATAATTATGCATATGAAATTTCAGCCACCTAGAATAAGCAGAAGTAATATATATATATATATATATATATATATATATATATATATATATATATATATATATATATATATATATATATATATATATATATATATATATATATATATATATATTGTCGTAAAACCACTAGAAACAGTCGATCACACACAGACATACAATTACAGACATATGAATGAGGAGAAGAGCAAGTTTCCATTACGTAGAATTTATAGGTGTATAGATTAGTGTTTTTCATTTGTTCAGCATGAGAAGCAATACATGGACAATAGGGGTCATACTAGATCAACAACAATTTAGATGTAAGGTAACAGTAAAGGAATACATCTACATAATATCTGATACAGGAACAATTCCTGGTAAGTGTCCCTTGCTCTGTCGCGAGTACCAACTTGCCACCCCCACAGGTCACAGCACTATCATTCGAGAGAAAATAGTTTCAGGCAGTGTTTCCAAAGTTCAGATTGTACTTCATATTCATATACCAAGTATTCTTCAGTATTTTATCATTTATGTCCATTGGTTAGCCGGGAGAATTACACACGAATATGCTGCTTGCTCATTTATTTTCGTCTTTGATACGATTTCACATGCTATCCACCCTTGCACCCACACATGTGACATTACCTTCTTGTAAGATAGTATTCTCACATTAACTACTGGTAATAGAGTGGCGATTTTTTTTTTTTTTTAGAATGTAGGTAAGCCATTGTACGTTTGTATATAATGTTTACGGGCGACATCCCGCATGTTCACTTTAAGGGATAGTAAGATAAGTCTTGTTACTTAAGAATACATAGTGTATGAATGTGTAATAAAACTCGTCATGAGAATACTGATATTCCTTCACTATACCCATGGACTGGTTACGTTACGAAACAAAGGAGTGTGGAAGGGGGGGGGGGGTACTGAGGTAGGACAAGGAGTGGCCGAATAGTCTCACTCCATAGTGACTTGATGCGTTGGTGCTACTAATTGGAAGTGTGAAGGATATATCTGCGTCATCATTCCTTGTTAATGGGCCGGGCCATAGCCGAAGGCCCGGGCGAAGCTAGAACTTCGCAAATCACAATCGATCTTGTTAATGGAAATTTACATACTGCAGAATATCATATACAATTCTGTATCGTGCACTCATTAATGTATTTATAGCTTAGAAGTAAATAGAAACAGCATGCATCTCATTTATTCCGCAGCTTACAAAAGGCCTACGATACTTACAGGTATATGTAACATTGCGATACGTGTCTCGCAATTATGGGAGATGCGATGCGCTAACGGTAAGAGTGTACGACATAAACTCATTCAGGAACACCTTTCAAAGTGCCCCGGCACAGAGTAGCAGTGAGTATAAAGTGAACTGTTCATAATCTGTCATCATGTGGGACGGGTATCTCAGAGCGTCGAAAGAGTTGGGCCAAAGCATCATTTTTTAATATATGACAGCCTTCCATATAGGATTATGCTGTGGTATGAGGGCAGAACTAGCATTCACGATAATGACGACAGTGCCATAGTGATCGCTCGTGACAGTCGCCCGCAGAACCGAAATTGCAAAAGAAAAATGTAGAACCACTCAGATATGAGTTGGCTGCAAAACTGCAGACCTCGCACCTTGGATTCTGACAATTTAACAGGCTAACTAAGAGTCAACTTGGTAACTCTAATTTTTACGGTTTTGGCTTTCCTCTTGTTTGCCCTCTTCGGTTGCGGGCGAGGCTTTGCATTTGTGGGCAAGGCGTCTGCTGGCTCCGTCACTCTGTAAAAGAATCCCTTGAATGTGCTAGCAAGGGCCCAGGAAATGGTAAAGGATCAGCATGAAGGACTCGCTGAAGGTCTTCCAACATCACTGAAACTTCTAGCACATGGGAATAATTTCAGGCGGATTTTTTTTTTTTTTCTTAGAGGAACTGGCTTTATATTCAAGGGTATAAAGTCTTTTATACATGAGTCACAAGAACCATAGAACGATTGAGTTAATAATTAAAGAGACTAGAAGCCTAAAAAACAGGCTAGAAGTGATGATGTTGGAAGACTTGCCAGCGAATGCTTCTGTCAGGCCATCGCGAGTATGTGCAAAGTCTTCTACAGAGCAGCATTACTTTGTGAAAACTTCTATCAAGGTGAAAGAGCATACAGGGCTGAGGATAGGGTTCGTTTCAATGCTGGAAAGTAATTTCTTAGTTCAAAACTCAGTGATAAGGGTCATGCATGCAAGCACTATAATAGAAATGGCTGTGAAACTAGAATATCTTCTGTAACATTATTTAAAGTTGCTTTGTGTCTCAATAAGGAGAGGAATTGTTCCATGTGAGGAATTTTATATTCTAAAAATGTCTCGGTCGAATATGTTGTTACATTTTGTATTACACTTTGCATATGTCAGACGTTTATATAGTATACCTGAAATGCACATATTGTTTTTATAAAAGAAATCCTAAAAATGATTTTTTTATTCCACGAATAAAAACGTCGAATGAATATCCCTTGCACTGTATTGTAAAGTTGCTTTGTGTGATTTTTTTTGTCATGGTTTCACTTAGAAATGTGATGCTTCATTTCTATTTTAAAGAGACCTGCTTTGTTTCTATGAAACTTTACCATTGTAACTTTTAGTCTTGAATCTAAATGAGCATCTTACTTTGTTCTGTCAGTTTTCTGTTCCACTGCATTAGCTTCCTTTCATTACCCAATATATGTGTCGCATATGACTATAAGCACACTCCCTAAGAATTTGGAAAAATCCGGAATCTATTTATAGGAATCTTTGAGATGAGAGACGCTAAGGGCACGGGCCGGATTATTCTTTAGCTAGTATAGGTTGCTGTTTAGGGCCCCTCAAGTGCTAAAAGATTTTCAAATATATATATATGTGTGTGTTTGTGTGTGTGTGTGTGTGTGTTTGTGTGTGTGTGTGTGTGTGTGTGTGTGTGTGTGTGTGTGTGTGTGTGTGTGTGTGTGTGTGTGTGTGTGTGTGTGTGTGTGTGTGTGTGTGTGTGTGTGTGTGTGCGTGCGCGCGTGTGCGTGTGTGTGTGTATATATATATATATATATATATATATATATATATATATATATATATATATATATATATATATATCCCGTTGGTGGTAGACCTCCACCGAAAAAGGTGTCCGAAGTGTCACAAATTATGAGTTTATATCTCTCTCCAGTCCATTGATTGTGATTTCGTGGCATTAAAAAA